GGGTAGAGAGTGAGGGGTTAGAGGTGTGAAAATTTTGTAAACTCCTTTTGGAGAGGAGGGCTACTCTTAATTGAGAAGGCCTTCCAAAAATTGTAACTTTAGTTGCAATTAATAATAATAATTTTTTCACCACTTTAAATATTTCTTCTCTTTGTTGGATGATGAAGATGGAGATGAAGAATTATTTAGAGGTTTGCATTTTCTTTCCTTTTTCTCTTTTATTTCCTTTTTATTGCTTATTAGTGTAGATTTATTTCTATGCTTGTAGTTTAGATTTTATTTTCTTGTTAAATAGCCAAGAGGCTAGAACCCTCTTGCCTTAGATTTATTTCATGCTTATAGAATAGATTTAATTTCTTGCATTTAATTCTTGCAATTTTATTTTGTAGTTTAGATTTTGCACTTTATTTTGTAGTTAGATTTTAATTTCTTATACTATTCACCTTGAGGCTAGAACCCTCTTGGGTTTAGTTTTTCTTTTTGTTTATTTTTATTTTGTTTGATTCGCCTTTAGGCTAGAACCCTCTAGGGAATCACCATTTTCTAAGAAGTGGGTTCAATTGTAGATTACCCATATCTATAATTGAATCCACCATCTTTAATTTCTTGCATTTTCTTTTATTCTTGAATTTTATTTTCTTTATTCTTGATTTTTATTTTCCTTTTCCTTCTTGCCTTATTGATCATATTCATTCTTTGTCACATCCACTCTCACTTATATCTCGTGCCGATTTACACACTATCACTTCCACTCTCTCTATCTCTCCACAATCACATTCACTTATCACTCCTACTTGTCACACACACAACATAAGAACCGATTTTATATTTTCTCCTACAAAACACCTTCCTCGTGGGATCGATATCTTAAATACTATAACTTGACACGGTTGTGCACTTGCAACCTTTTTGGTACATGTTTATGCCGCATCAAGTTTTTGGCGCCGTTGCCGGGGAAGGTGCTTAAGTAGGTTTTAATTATTTTGGTTCTTTAACTTGTGTGTTTATTGTGAAAGAACTACTTGGAGATTAAAGATCAAGAATTGGAGATTGAGGAATTGGATATTCGCTTGTGGTAAGCCATTGTAAGACCACACCATGAGTGGCTAAGCCATTGAAAGTTGTAAAAATCTTCGTCAGCTTTCTAACACATCTTAAATCATCTCATTCCGAGATCGGACGAGAGAGTTAGAGCCAAAAGACCCGAGGACGTACGAAGGCAAAACAACTCAGCCAGGAGTTGTGTCTCGCCCACACAATGAGTGG